ATTCATATTATATATATATATATATTATATTATATTATATAGAGGAGAGAGAGAGAGAGAGAGGATAGAGAGAGAGAGAGGACTGATATTATTATATTTATTTTATATATATATAATATATATTTTGTGTGTGTGGTGTGTGTGTGTGTGTTGTGTGTGTGTGTGTGGTGTTAGTGTGGGTGTGTTTATTATATAATATATATTTATTTATTTTTTACTATATATATTGTTACATTATATATATATTTATGTATAATATATATATATATAATATTTATTCATATTATATATATTATTATATATTAATTTTTAATATAATTATGATATGTGTATATTATGTTTGTGTGTGTGTGGTGGTGTGTGTGTTTTTAATATATAATATATTTAACTTATATTTTATATATTCATTTATATGCTATATATATATATATTATATATATATTATATATATATATTATATATGTATGTATTATGTATATACTTATATATGTGTGTGTGTGTTGTATGAATATATGTGTGGTGTGTTGTGTGTGTATGGGTGGGTTTAATATGTGTGTGTGTGTGAGTGTGAGTATGTGTGTGGTGTGTGTGTGTGTGTGTGTGTGTGTGTGTAGGTTGTGTTGTGTGGTGTTGTGTGTGTGTGCAGCGTTTTAATGCTATCGCATGTCAAGAGATCTTGGCATTATCTTTTTAGACTGAAATGACGTTAGGAATTACCTATAATGCATCTCAAAATAAACTCATAATAGTCCAGATAAAATACCTCCTATTTCGCCGGCAACTTTAATTTTTCTCTCCTTTTTTTACAAACTTCTATCATGCCATGTGTTCCCAGATCACGACACGAACATGGTTATGGTCGTAACATGTCTTGATCTCATGCATGGAACATGAACGCAAATATTCTTTTTTTCCTCTTTTAATGGTAATGTTTTTGCCATTCGTGTGTAATCTAGCATCCGGAGCTGTAGTAGCCAACGTATCATTTACTCTTATTAATCGTATAATAATATATTGATGCTACTTTATATTAGATCGTTTTGGTTTAATAAATGTCTATGCAAAAATGATTAAGTCTACTATCAAAATATTTATGATGTTTTCTTTAAACGGAAACTTAATAGAAAACAACTTACGGGGGGACTCGCTTAAGATAATCGACTGCCTAATGCTGGACTATGTAATCGTATTATATCATATCACTTATTTTTCCATCTATTATATATGTTAACAATAATACAGCATTTCTACACAAATACGCAACACAAAACAACACACCACCACAACAACAACAACATAACACACACACACCGCACGCGGCACGCAAGACACAATAAGCATAGTGACAAAGTCAGAAGATCTTAGAAGACTGAAAATAATATCTTTTTCACTATTTTTTTTTTACAGAATATTTGAAATTGATACCGAGTATTTTTTTCTTAATCATATTATTTGCCATCTGATCATATGCTTAACTTTTATGTATCTATATTGTAGTCATATATAAAAAAATAACAAAGAGTAATTACATAAAGGGTTGTACATTATTTTAACAGTGTTTACATACTTGTTGTTTTTCCAATTCATGTCTATTACACTGAACTCATTCTTTTGTTTTATAAATTTTTGTTATTACTTAAAGTATTTTTCATATCGAGAAGCAGTCTCTCATAGTAAAATGTTGTTGATTAGTGGTGCTATGTTTATTTATCATCTATCCACACTAAAATGTTCATTTCTATGATAAAGTTTAACGGAAAAAGAATGTTGATTTAGCCATTTGACATAAGAAGAGGATTTAAAAAATGTTAATCCAACCATTACTGTGGTCGATCGTATAGGAAAGTTATTTTTATGAAGTTTTTTAATTAATAGACTTTTTTAGACAGATGCGACTAAGATAAAATAGACAGAGAACATGAACACATAAGCGCACGTAATTACGTTTGATAGTACGGATTTATTCTCTTATCATCCCTGGCAATTGATTATCCTATTAAAAGACCAGAAAGCGAGGGGAAGTAAAATGATAGAGAGACAATTACATATTTGTATATGTATACACCGCTGTCTATTATCGTTCATCTATTCACACCACTCTACCTACTATCTCACATTACTTGTTTGTATATGTAACAACGCTATTTTATCCTAATCATTATCCCACCACACTCTACTACTATCTCCTTAATTGTTTTGTATATGTACAACCACTATCTCTCTCCGTCAATCTTATCTCCCACCAATTTACTAGCTTATCCTCCATTATTGTTTGTTATTGTTTAACCCCGCTATCGTTCTATCGTTAATCATCTATCCACCACCATCTACTACCTACTCACATTACATTGTTTGTATATGTAACACCGACTATCCGTTATCTAATTACTATTCACCACCATCTTATACTATCGCTCAATTACAATGTTTGCTATGTACACACGTATCCTCTATCGTCAATCATTATCCCACAGTCTACTACTTATCCCTCATTCTTGCCACCGCGCTCTCTTTCAGAGGATCCCATACATGGGGGAGTGGATGGGGTCCTCCGCGAGAGATCATAGTGTTTCGATGCTATAGGTCCAACGGTACAAACACAAACGAAGCGAATTTCAGACGTCTATCGTATTACAAAAGTTTGCCTGGCAGGTAAGGAGAGGAGGATAGTTAGAGTGAGAGTGTGAGGGAGCAAAGAGATAGAGGTGAGTGAGTGAGTGAGTGAGAGAAAAGAGAGAGAGGAAGAGAGAGAGAGAGGAGAGAGAGAGGAGAGAAGAGAGGAGAGAGAGAGAGAGAGAGAAGAGAGAGAGAGAAGTAAGAATGAGAGGAGGGGGGAAGGAAGAGAGAGGGAGAGAGAGAGAGAGAGATGGGGGATGAGGGGAGAGAGAGAGAGAGAGAGATTGAGAGAGGGGATAAGGAGAGAGAGAGAGAGGGAAGTTTTCATACTTTCCTGCCAGGAGATAAATAGATAGATAAATAGACGTAAGAATTTATATGTATGTATTCGAAATTTCCTAGTTTTTGCTTAATATCCCAATTTACAACATAGATAATTCTTTGCTTAATCACAAGAGTAAAGACACACATTCTGTTTTTTTTACCATTTTTTTTCCTTTTACTTCGGATTCAAAAGTGATTTTTAATAATTTGTTTAAAACTTTAGAGAGAGAGAGGTAGAAAGGTTAAGAATTCCTGATAAAAGGAGAAAATACAATGAAATAAGAAATAGATAAATTAAT